CTCTCTCTCTCTCTCTCTCTCTCTCTCTCTCTCTCTCTCTCTAAGCTCTGGCTAGGTTCGCCAGGGTGTCCGGTGGTCTGTGGGGGGTTTATCTCCCCACGGAGTACCCCGGACTCACCAGATATATGGGCCTGAGGGATTTGTAAATTATTTGGGAATGTCCGTATAGTTGAGTAGGAGGAATGTAGGTAGATGGTTTGAAGACTGTCAATTTTGTCTGTATATTATCAGAATCGGAGTCAGTGTCGTAAGGGTGAATCCGCATTCTGTTTTTTTTGGGTCTGAGGAAAACGAGGGGTTGAGTCTCCAGGAATAGAAACAGCAGGGGGCACAGGAAAGCGGGTGTCAGTTTCCCAGTTTACGTGGGTCTGAACCATAAGAATGAATTCACAGTCCGTTTTTTTCTCCGAGAGAACGACGGGATTAGCTTCCAAGAATAGGACCAGCGGGAGCATGGGAAGGCGGGACCGGGTCCCGCTGTGGAGTTGAAGGGAGAAAACAGTGTTGGATTCGCAGCGACTCTGAAAGGATCTCGGGCAGGCAGGAAAAACGACCAGCTTCCTGAAATTAGAAAAGGATCAGAGAAGGCGAGAGTACGGAGTATAGGTAGGCGGAGCTGGCGAGTTATTATGGGAAGGACCGGACGTCGAGGGAAGGAATGCAGGGTCAGGGAAGTGGAAGACGATGGGTAACATCGGTTGAAGGAAAGGCAGAGTAAGTCTATTCAAAGCATGTGAGGAGAACGCGCGGGACGGATAGCTAAGACATACGGCAGAGACGCAGGATTGAAGCGGCTCGAGCAGAAGATCATCCACGGGATATTGATCGGAAGAAAGTTGAAGGTAAGTAAGGAAGGTGAAATGGTTGGGGAGATTGAAGCGAAGGGGGTTTGAAGCAGGAGAAAGTGTGGGAGGGAGATAAGGCAGGAGGGAGGGAGAGAAACGGTCTCGGAGGAAGTAAGAGGAAGGAGGTAAAGAAAAGGAAGAGAACAAATTAGGGAAAGGCTGTGGAGAGCGGGAGGGAAAACCAAGGGACGACTGCAGAATGTAGGCCGTGGTAGGAGTAGAGTAGTGGGAAGGGAACTCGATGTCGAAGGGAAGGATAGTCTGATCAAAGATGCGCACGGAACATATAAGAAGGGACGGTGGTTCGATAATAGGAGCATCTCGGTTCGCTTTTTGGAGTGTATGGTTTTTTGCCTCATGATGATCCGCTGTGTACGCGAGCGGTGAAACTCGTAGGGGCGCGGCGTATGGTTATGATTTTTTTAGTATTAACGAAGGCATGAATCGGGTGTGTTTGTCTTTATGGTTGGGAACTTGCTGTATGCATATGTGGGATCTCTTCATCACTTCATCACCTATCCTTTTATTATTCTCTTATTCTTAATGAGCGTGGTAACCGGTTGTGGATGGCATTTCACGGTGGCTACGTAGTATACATAGTTTTTCACGGCGGAAGAGCTCGGAGTGTGAACGTCTACGAGTTCGGTCTTTTCGCCGCGGGACTTGGGAAGGTGAGCGTGAACGTCTCGACTTGGCCGAGTCCGAAGAGAATACGGGCATGGTGGGTAAGTACTTGGTCAGGGCGAGAAAAATGATCAGTAAGAGTATCGTGGTGATTGTCGGGGTGATAGCGGTTTTGACCATCTATGGACTAAAGAGGGTGAGTGGAAGGAAAGGATGGATTATTGAGGTGCGCATCTATGTGAAATACAAACGTGGGGTAGAATGACCGATAAAAATTTCAGGGAAGCCGAGTTAGATAGACAGTGGCAGGGGATAGAGAATCTGGTATACGATCCGGTTATACCTATGATATTCGTAGCACTTGAGTTTGGCGGTGAGGATACAAAGGAGGAGTTTATTAGAGTGCTTGAGAGTTTTCTAGGTAGATTGTATAGCGTCGGGTGCTTAGTGAGGAATAGAAGGAGGAGGAGGAGGAGACAATCTCGGGCAAATAGGTGAGTAAAGATGCAGAATTTAGGAGGCGGGATGAATCCCGGACTCGGAAATGGAATAGCAGTTGGGGGAGGGAATCAACCAGGTGGTTTGACATGCCACATCTGTCGGAAGGTCGGGCATTATGCCCGGAACTGCTGGATGGCGGGGAATGGGAGGGGTCCTTTTGTTCAGCAACCCGTTGCGAGTAGTATGAATGAGGAGACGAAGGAAATATGAGAATATTTTCGAGAAAAGATCAGGAGGAAGAAGCTTGAAGAGGAGAAGAGGGGAAGAGAGGAGGAGAGGCGTCGGAGGGAGGAGGATTTTCGGAAGGAACAAGAGAGGATGAGAGACGCAGAGGCAAGAGAAGCTAGACTGGAAGCACATCTGATTCGCCTTCTTGCGCAACACAATAAGCCTAGTATGCAGCCGGAAAGCTCGAACGTGAAGAAGAAATCACCTAGGACGAAGGCTAGGGTACTGAGGGAGATTACGAGCTACTTAAACGAGTCAGATGATGAAAGTGAAGAAGTAAGGGAGGAGGCAGGAAAACTTGTCGAGGCGATCGAAAGGAGGAAGGGAAAAAGGAGGATTTACAAGGATGACGGGAAAGGCTCAAGGATCCAATCGGAAAGGATGGGTTATCGGGTGGATCTGGTGAGAGTCGAGGATGATGATGAGGAGAAAACACCACCACCAGCGAAAAGAAGGCATGAAGAAGAGTCGGGTATTCTCAAGTTCGCGATTGAGCTTCACAAGCACTTGTCGGAGAAAAAGGTGCCAGAATTACGGACGTTGTGCAGCAGAGAGGCTATCGAATGGTCAAAAAAAGACACAACTATCGGCGAATTGGTGAAACGCAAGGCGAAACTAGCTTATGGCGATTTCGCTGAGAATGGTCGCATCTCGGACTTGTTCGAGAAATGATAAGTACAGGAGATGGAGCAGCTGAGGGTGGAAATGATAGCATGGAGGAGGGTAGTAGAGGAAAAGGGAGGAAGACTGAAAGCGAGTGAGGAGGATAGGTTGTTTAGACTATTCCTACTATGTGTTATGTCCGGAGAATGCCCTTGGGCAAGGAAATGGGTAGGGATCGTGAGTGGGAACGATGGTGACGTATCGACCGCAAATCCAGGTGTGCACGCAATAGTCAGCCCATGGTGCAGACATTTCTATATTGGCTGCACCTCCCGAGCCGTAATTACGAGATGGGCTGATCACGTGAGTCAAGTGGTTCGGGGAAATCCCAGGAATGCACCGAGGCTTCATGCGTGGTTGCGGGTTTTTGGTTGGCACAAGTACTTAGCCGTTCCCTTGGTGGATGGGATCGAAGACCTCTTAGTTGTTGAATCAAGTTTCATTAGGAGGTTTTCTCCGGCCTTGAATACTCGAGGGTTGGGTGGGGAGAGGTGGCGCGGGAAGAAGAAGAGGGTGGGAAAAAGGGAGAGAGGTAAGAGACAGTCGAACCCAAGTGGGGTTGTAGTGAACAAATTCAACGGGAAGGCATCAGTGATTGATGTGCTCAGAGATATGCGGTGTGAGATGAGTCTGCAGTGGATCGCGTCGTCCGGGGGATCCGTGTGGATCGACAGATGGAAGGTGGCAAGGAGGAAGGTGGGTGAGACGCCGATCTGGGTGGGTGAGGAGGAGAGACCTATCAAGGAATGCAAGCAATGTTTAGAGAAGGGTGGAAAGTTTCGGGTGTGGAAGATCAGGATTCTGCCTTCGAGCATCGAGCACAGGAGGTTTGTGCTAAGGGACGTGTTACGTCTGTCATGGAGGATTCAGATTTTGTATAAGAAGGCGTCAAGGGAACTGGTGGCGCTATATCGTACCACCATGCTGTTTTCAAAAAAAAAGAGCAGGAATCGTGCAAAGTGTGTGGTTGCACGAGTGGTGAGGGGGAAGTATGGGTATGACATAAGAAGGAGGTCGTGCGTGAGGTTTCCGTTTCCCCCTTCAGTAAAACGAGGAATGGTGAGAAGGGTGGCGGCCGGTGTGAGTCTTCAGGCGGTTGCCGATCCTGATCTCGCCAGGTTCATTGCGGGTAAGGTGAGAGTGGTGGAGAGGAAGAGAACCACGGTCGGCACGGTCATTCACAATCACCGGAAGTTTGCAGACAGCCTTGATGTGGGGTCTGCATGTGAGGGACTGCAGCTACCCAGGACCGATGAGCATGTCAAGGTTCGTTTGGACGAGGTAGAAGGAGTGCCCAGTTTCATGTGGAACTCGAAGAATGTTACGAGCGGATGTGTCTTATCAATGGAAGGGCTTAGTGCATGCATCATGGAAGGGGTCAAAGGATGGAGAAGAGGTAAGAAGATGCGCTTATCTCATGAGGACGTTGGTGGTTGTTTCGATGAGAGAATGGGAGGAAGGAGTGCTGCGATGTCTACAAATGAAGTGAGGAGGTACTCTCGAAGGTTCAGCGGGATGGTAGCAGTTCTGATCGATCGTAATCCTGGCGCCACGTTAATTGTTTGTCCGGCATTGTATTTTCGTGCTTGTCTGGAGACATTCAATCTGAGTGGTAGTTTCCGTAAGATGCAGGAGTCTTCAATTTTCGTAATGACGGAGATGACGAGGGAGTACGGTCATCAAGGTTTGGACAAGATTGCGAGGTGGCAGACAGGTGGTAAGATTGGCCATGCGTATGTATTACCAAAGGACAAGGATCTGAGTAGGTGGAGGCCGATATCACCTTGAAATGCTGATCCGGCGAGAGTAGCAGGGGCTGGAACTGGTCGAGCGATCAGATACATGCTTTTTCGGCATCCCGAAGACCGTGCATTTCGACCTCAAATCATCGGATAATCTAGGTGAGCAGATGAAGGTTTTTGAGCGCGATTTGAACGCGGAGGGAGATTGTGTGATCACCAGGAGTTACGACGTCAAGGATATGTTCGCCAGACTGTCACATGAAAGCGTGATGGAAGTCGTGGAATGGTTGACCGAGTACCATAAACAGAAAGGGTTGAAAGGGGTACGGGTAAGCACGAGGGGAAAGATGTGTTCCATGATCAAGAAAGTCAGAAAAGAGGAGGGGTTCATCAATATGTCATTCGAAGACATCAGGAGGGAAGTATCCTTTGAGCTGTCTCACTCGTTCATATGTTGCGCAGGCGAAGTAATGCGGCAGGAGTTCGGTATCCCGATGGGGAGGAGTTTCAGCCCTGCGCTGGCATGTACTGTGTGTGCAAGAGCGGAGTATGTATGTATGAATCGAATGAAGAGCACTGTGGCGGTAATTAGGGGACTGAGGATGATCGATGACGTCGCTATTATGGTGGGCTGCAGGACGGACCGACCAAATATATTCGGAAGAGCATCAAGAATATTGAGTGAATTCGAACAGTGCCATGATAGGAACATCAAGCTTGTTCGGAAGGATGAGGGCGGCAATGTGTTTGATTTTCTCGGTACTCGAGTTTTGCCGATGTGAACCTTGTAAGGATCAACGTACATTCTCGAACGAGGAACCAAGAGTGCCTTCTAAGAGAAGGGAAATTGAGAGTACAATCCATGCAGGATTATACCTCCTTCATCAGGAAAGCAGCAAAGAAAGCGGTTTTGTATGCCACATTGATTCGCATGGAGCGGATCTCGAGTTCGGATGAAGCACTGAAGGCATCAATTGCAGCTTTGATGATCGAGGTCAACCTCCGGGGGTACCCCCCGGAGGTCTCTCTCTCGGAGCTCTGGCTAGGTTCGCCAGGGTATCCGGTGGTCTGTGGGGGGTTTATCTCCCCACGGAGTACCCCGGACTCACCAGATATATGGGCCTGAGGAATTTGTAAATTATTTGGGAATGTCCGTATAGTTGAGTAGAAGGAATGTAGGTAGATGGTTTGAAGATTGTCAATTTTCTCTGTATATTATTAGAATCGGAGTCTGTGTCGTAAGGGTGAATCCGCGTTCTGTTTTTTTGGGTCTGAGGAAAATGAGGGGCTGAGTTTCCAAGAGTAGGAACAGCAGGGGGCACGGGAAAGCGGGTGTCAGTTTCCCTGTTTACGTGGGTCTAAACCATAAGAATGAATTCGCAGTCCGTTTTTTGGTCCGAGAGAACGACGGGATTAGCTTCCAAGAATAGGACCAGCGGGAGCATGGGAAGGCGGGACCGGGTCCCGCTGTGGAGTTGAAGGGAGAGAACAGTGTCGGATTCGCAGCGGCGCTGAAAGGATCTCGGGCAGGCAGGAAAAAAGACCAGCTTCCCGAAATTAGAAAAGGATCAGAGAAGGCGAGAGTACGGAGTAGAGGTAGGCAGAGCTGGCGAGCTATTATGGGAAGGACCGAACGTCGAGGGAAGGAGTGCAGGGTTAGGGAAGTCGAAGACGATGGGTAACATCGGTTGAAGGAGAGGCAGAGTGAGTCTATTCAAAGCATATGAGGAGAGCGTGCGGGACGGATAGCTAAGACATACGACATAGACGCAGGATTGAAGCGGCTCGAGCAAAAGATCATCCACGGGATATTGATCGGAAGAAAGCTGAAGGTAAGTAAAGAGGGTGAAATGGTTGGGGAGATCGAAGCAAAGGGGGTTTGGAGCAGGAGAAAGTGTGGGAGGGAGATAAGGCATGAGGGAGGGAGAGAAAATGGTCTCGAAGGAAGTAAGAGGAAGGAGGTAAAAAAAGGAAGAGAAAAAAGGACGGAAAGGTTGTGGAGAGCGGGAGGGAAAACCAAGGGACGACTGCAGAATGTAGCAAGATAGGAGTAGGTCGTGGTAGGAGTAGAGTAGTGCGGAGGGAACTCGGCGTCGAAGGGAAGGATAGTCTGATCAAAGATGGGCACGGAACATATAAGAAGGGACGGTGGTTCGATAATAGGAGCATCTCGGTTCGCTTTTTGGAGTGTATGGTTTTTTGCCTCCTGATGATCGGCTGTGTACGCGAGCGGTGAAACGTGTAGGGGCGTGGCGTATGGGTATGAATTTTTGAGTATTAACGAAGGCATGAATCGGGTGTGTTTGTCTTTATGGTCGGGAACTTGCTGTATGCATCTGTGGGATCTCTTCATCACTTCATCACCTATCCTTCTATTATTCTCTTATTCTCTTATTCTCTCTCTCTCTCTCTCTCTCTCTCTCTCTCTCTCTCTCTCTCTCTCTCTCTCTCTC